TTAAAATGATTTTTGGATAGGTATAAAGAGCTGAATCAAATCTTTAGTCACCATTCAAAATACACTTCTAAACACATTCACAATTTTTTTTACCTTAATTAACTGCACTAAACCTTGTTATCATAATTTATCATCATAGATTTTAGCGCGATTTGTTACCATATATATTTTTAACAGTTGTTTTCAAAAGTTTCTGAAAAAAACACAATGTGTATGGTTACCTATGCATCGTACTCATATGATATATGTACAGTAGATCCATATCCTCCAGGAAAGCGTTCCGATTTACTTGCGACTATATAGGAAAATTTGTTAAAGGGGTCAATGTCTGAAAGATTGCGATCAGCACTATTATAGTTGAGTTCTACTTTAAGAGTGATAAAACAAATTTTTATTATATGGCTTTCATAGGTTTATTTTATAAGGTTCTATATTTTCTACACAGAACTTCAATAAAATCTTTGGTAGTTTCAATTATTAATGATTTCAAGTCATGAAGGTAAGAGCAAGGAAAAATAATTTCTACGGATCTATTAATATTAGAGTAGATTTCGTTAAACAAATTATTATGATTTTTCTCCAAAAGGAAGTAACAGTAAAAATAAAATTGATGTTCTCGTTTGTCATACGATTAAATATATATTTCGTTTTAAAAAAAAAACTCTTGATTTTAGTAAAGCATTTTATAAAAAAGATATGAGCCAGGAAGTAGATATTTATGTTCCTTACCCCATCACAGCGATCACGATATTACATAATGTCATAGAACTTATTTTCTTTTAGTTTACTTAGTAATGCTTTGGTATTTACATTAAGCCAAAGCAAAATTCAATTGTATTGAAGGAATATCGTAATAAAAAAAATGTTTCTTTCAAAAGTTCGATTTAAGTAATCGGAAAGTAAAAACAAAGAACGCATTATTATTTTCATTTGATATTTTGTTTGTAATTGCATTAACAAATAACAACAAAAGAAGCAAACTTTTATTTATTTTGTTTTCATGAGCGAACCATTTTTATATCTTGCGTGCAAATATCTAAGATATACTAGCCTAGATATGCTCTCAACCGAATCACAAGACCCTGACTGACAACTGATGTGCTAAAGGTGATGACGATGAGTAATACTGCCGAAGAACTGTTTGTTGATTTAATCGTAAATGTTGTAAACATTACATATTCTGCACGAAATGGAAGCAAATCATAATTTTTTCAAAAAGATTAACTAAAGTAATTAATTCATTAATAAACATTACTTTAATTGAATTTATAATACGTACTTCTTTTAGATTTTATTAGCTTCTCAATTTAATTTCAATCTCTAAATTGAGGTTTTTTTACATTATTTATTAAATATCAGCTATGTTATCACTTCAAAATAACTTTCTATGCTTTCTTTAGTCAGCTATGTTAGGGTGAGGTTTTCATGGAAAATTAAACATCCCAGAATTTTAAAACAATTTTGTTTTCACTGTCTGACTGCCTGACAATGTTTTTTATTACTTCTATCAATTTTATTATGATACCGTATATATCAAAATATTAATACATATGTTATTTATGTAACTTTGGGATCTACGTAGAACAATCTCTTCTTTAGATGTTTTTGAATCTAAGAACTATTTTGAAATGAATTATGTTTATTTCAGAATTATGGATACATGAGGTTAGTAATGAATTCGATATATATAAAAAAGTTTACTAAACATGATCGTGAAAATTTGATCATTTTAACATTTATGCGTAGATTCTTGAAATATCTTTTATAGTCGAATGTGACTTGTCACATAACACTTAATAATATAGCTAACTTTCTTATTTCCATGATCATATAAAAATGAGGTTCTCAGCTTAAAAGACATGAAAACTTAAAAGACATTTTTCCAGATTAAAAAAACAGTATATGGGTAGTAGATATAAGATGTTATTTTAATGAATTATGTGGAATACTATTTCATTATCAACTGAAAGTTAAAATTATTTAAACAACTAAAATTGCAAAACCTAGAATTTGGGAGATTGAAATGGTATTATATTTTTAAGATTAGGTAACCAGTAAGACAAAGATACAAGTATCAAAGCTTTACAACTTAAATAGACGTATAAGCAAATCATCAAAAAAGAAAAAATAGTTGGGCTCACATGTCATCTTCAGATCTCTATATAAAAATATGAAGTGAAACAAGAAAGCATGTGATACGGGTGGAAAATATAGTATGATATAAAGTCTTAATGCTAAATAATTATAATAAGGATTTCAAAATTCTAGTGTTTTAGTCTCATACTCATATTTACTGATAGTAAATATCATATAAATTTTATATTGCATATAATGACTGTATAAATGAAAATTTTAGGATTAAATTACAAGAAAATATAGATTAATTTTATTCAAATGCTTATATGTCCTAATAGCCCTTATAACAGCTTGTGACATTATTTACATTAAAATTCTCACAAAATATTGAGAAAATCATGTATAATTTTATTTTCTTAAGTCTTTTATAGTGTTTTAGAGAGAATTTCGTCGCACATTTTTAAGTTCATGAATTTTAAATAAATATAATGCTCTTTCATATGTATAAACTTTGTATGACCTTTGCAATTATAACCGAGAAAGGTCTGAACAGTGAAGAAAAATTCGCTGAAATAATATAGACCTATCTCGACCTATAACATAGATTATTTTATAGAGACAAAATATACTCGTATATACTTTTATAAATGAGTCCTATATACATTAAATAATGTTATGAGTACAAAATTACTAATGGTGTAATCGATATGATGTCTTAACAATATACCAACAATATTATACTCTATTATACATAAACAAAATAAAGTTACAAAAAGAATAATTAAAAAAAATTAATTAAATAAATGAAATGTTTTATTTGAATTATTATGAAAATTATTATTTATGAAAATTAAGAGGATTTTAGTATGTTGAACACCCAGAATTATTACCTATTTATTAACTTATTATTTGTTAATAAAAATTATTTACGTAGGTGAACTTTAAAACAACTATTTCTAAATATGAAAATAAAATAATATTGAAATTTAAGTTAATTCATTTATCAAATTAATTTTATTGTTAAAGGAACTATTGAAATGTAGATACTTCTTTAATTTTTATAAATTTATATTTATATTAAATAATGTTAAGATGCGGTTAAAAGATGTAATGATCGGATCAATATCTTCATATTTTTAATAAGTTTTATTTATGTTTGCTTGTACAACAATCACATTAACAAATTAGATTAAAAAATATATGATCACTTTTATTAGCATATTAACTCCAGTTCCAATTTGTGTAACACCTAACTTGTCCAAATGTCTGGAAAATGTAAACATTTGAACCCACGCTGGCGCCTAACACTGTGAGCTTCTTTCGGAAAGAATGGCTACTGCCAATTTGCTATATACGACGACGGATGCTAATGTTTTGGTTGTTTTTTATTCAATTTCCGTTGATACGTCTAATATTTAAAATTTTAAATTTAATTAATAGTTTGCCAAATAAAACTAATTAATGTTGAAGTATATTAGTCTAGACATGAAATGTATTATAAAAATAATTAAATATTTATGAAAAAATTATCTAACCTTAATTTATATTATTGCATCAATTTAACTGAATTTTATTTTATAGTAATAAATTTTAAAAATTGATGTATGCCACATATATTTGCCTGAATTGGATACAAATAAGTTTGTATAAAAGGAGCACTAATTAAATTCATCCAACTTTATTGATACTATTTGGAGAAAAATATTAAATAAAAATAGTTTCATATTTTATAGTTCGGCTTATAAGAGATACTTTATATTAAAGTCAAGTGTTAAATATTTTCAATTTTAGATATTTATTTTGGATAGAAAAGATACTTTTTCTTTAGATAACAGAAATTATCGCTAACAATGTAGTAGTAGGTGAATTTTTTTTAGAATAGTTACTGAATCAAATCACTTATTTCGTTTTCTCTAGTCAAACAGTTTATTTTAATTCACTTTTCCACAGATTTTATTTTTTAATATTTTTTATATTTTATTTCCATTTATATTTCTTTTTATTTATTAGTTTATTAAAAACATCTATTTGTAAAAATAGATAAATTTTATTTATAAACTACTAAATTTAATTTACTAATTAAGAAATTATTTAAAGTTACATATATCTCCCTTAAGTTTTTAATTTTAGTTCAATAGTTCCTCTCAGTTTACTCAATCGTTTTAGTTTAGTAAATTGTATTCGAACAATATTTTATTATACTTTATTAGTTTATTACCACTTCCAAAGTTCGTTTTGCTTGAATTATACACTATTAATCAATAGTTATGAACGTTCCATTTAGTTTCTGATTTAAGCTTAGTAATCGAGTTATAGATATATTTTTACAACATATCTTTAAAGTAAAATTTATAGAGTCCAATTTGTTAATGGTGACTCAAAGTTGATTTAATATAAAGTCTTGGTTGTTCATTTTTCGCATATTACTGATGTGGAAAATTTCTATGTTAAAAATTTTGAGATTATAACCCAAAATGTTTAAAACTAAATTCTGAACCTATTTAAATACAAAAACATATTATACATTAAATTAAAAAACGATTTAACTATAAACTGAATAAATTATTGACTGGAATGAACTATATAACACACCAGTTCATTTGATATAAATAAACTAATAATATGAACTAATCACACAACTCTATTATTATTAGCCTTAAAGATCCATAAATCACATTACCGATATTTAAAATAAAAAAAAACTAATTAAGACATATCATATGCTTTTATTTAATTTGCAAACGTACTAGTATGTCGTATGTTAAGTATCTATACAAATATAATTTAACTAAATGTTAAGTAAGTATAAAAAATATATAATATACTACTACAAAGTATCTGCGTAATTACAGCAGTCATAGAATAAGATTATATACATATATATTTCTTGTAAAACTAAATATTGTTCTCATTATTGAACTCACCACTTTGATGCGTAGAAGAAGAATGAAAACTACTCTTTTCATGAATCGTTGACTGGGTGGAGTAATCTGTAGATGATCGGGGATTATTATTTGTCAAAAAACTCCCCGCTTGGTGATCTGAACCACAGGCTGAGCCAGTAGTAGCCGATTCGAAAGAATTTGCAGCTAAAATTTCTTCTGTAGGTTTTTCGCAATCTAAGTTTATACAGAAAAAACTAAGTAAATAATTGAAAAAAATATAAATTTTGGATTTTATTTCTTTGATGTATATAATATATTTTCTTTTAATTGCATCTATATTATTAATATTTAAGTAAAAACTAATTTTGATCTGTTTCAATAAAATCGAATTTGTTTGTTAAGTAAAATAAATTTCGATTTCATTTTTTATGCAATGTAGTAAATATTTCTTAATTTTACAATATAGACTGTTAACTAAAAATAAATAAATAAATTAATTAATTATTGATACCTGTCATTGAATAAAAAGATTAGCAACAAAAGGATTGTAATTTGATAAATTTTATTACACATTTTTGGAATACTTCTATTCTTAAATTCTTAATTCTTAAAATACTTATGTTGTTGTTGTTGTTGTAACCCGCCGGGACCTGAAAGCAGATAACATGAAAGGATTACAAGACGAATACATGGGATAAGGAATGGAAAAAGGTGGGAGTGAGTGTTGGGATGAGCGAAAGGGGAGGGGTGGGAGTAATTTGAAACTAACCAGGATCCAGTCGAAGAAACCTAGCCACTTCAAGGGGACGTGTCCAAAAGTCGATTGGACTTAAATTGGTGTGTGCGTTGGGGCAAGAAAACAAATGGGCGACGTCATGGGGTGTGGAGCTGCAGTTTAGGCACACATTAGGAATGGACGTGTTAATACGTGACAAGTAACTGTTAAGCACATGGCTATATCCTGATCTTAATTGAGATAGGACAGTATTTGCCGTACGAGGAAGATTACATTCATCCTGAGAAATGTTAGGCGGAGGCCTATTGAGGACCTTGTTGGGAGCCAACCTAGGTCTCGAAGAAGATACTGCATCGGTGTGGAGTGCTATAAGTCCACGTTTGTATTCGACATCACTGATGTAGGCTGCAATGCAATATTGGTCGATATTGAAGTTGGTAAGTGATCGACGGATGCAACGTGGAGGGAGGGCTCTACTAGCCATGACGCCATTAGGATGACCATCTATGTGGCACACGAGTAAGAATTGTTTGGACAGCAGTTGATTGTGCCCTTTTACAAAAAGCAACTTTGCTTCCGCATGAAGATGGTCAACACGCGACATACGATGGCAGCCAGTTGCAATCTAATATTTTACTTATAATATTATCGAAAATTGTTACATTTGTATATATATATTTGTTATATTTTATTACACATTTTTGGAATTGTTATATTTTTGAATTCTTAATTCTTCAAATATTTATCTAATATTTTACTTATAATATTATCGAAAATTTGTTATATTTGTTATTTGCAAATAAGAAATAATTGCATTTACTTATACCTTAGAGTTCAGAAAAGTAATGAAAAAATTTTAATTGATAAGTCAACATATTTTTGGTGTTAATATTCTAAAAAAAAATATTCTTTAAGCAATATTAACCCAAGAGCAATATGAAAAACCTCTAAAAATATTAATTATTATTATATATTTATCAAATATATTAAATTTGAAAAAAAAACAGACACGTTTATATTTGAAAAATTATTTGCTGCTTATTTATTTATAAAACACCCGATATACTATATTTAAGATTAATATACTTTAACGATATAAATTTAAGGACCATTTTTGAAAAATACCTAAACATTCAACCGATGTTAGTTTCATTGAAAATGTTCAAATCAATTTTCAGACGAAATAAGAGCAGCATTCTTAATTCGTTTTTCCAGGATGCTACTAAGTTAAATAAAGTAAACGTTGGGGTGAGTAGAAACCGATTGACCTCAGTTTCAGTGCGATTTTGTTACCTCGAAGACATCCGCTGTGGAACAGAACTTCCGTTTAATTTTTTCTTGTACGTTTTTCACAATTTTTGTTATATTTTTTAGAATACAAAGTTGTAAATTTTAAATCTAATTATATTTAATAAAGTTATAAAGGGTTGCTCATATTTCAAGCAGCTTGCTATACATGGCATTTAAGTTAATAATAGCTAATATTATTGTTATGTGTTCTATTGCCAATAAATTTTATTATTCTTAATTTTATATGTTTAAAGACGATTTTTAACAATATAGTAAATATTGAATTAGTATTGATTTTAGTGATTTGATGTACATATTGTATTTAGTTAGATTGTGTTGTTACCTTTTTGTAAAATATCCAAATGTTCCCATAGAATATCACCGGTGAATGCTGGTGTGATGGCTAAAAATTTATCTTTTCCTAATTCAACCATATCGCGTCCTTTCATTTTGATAAAAGGTTCTAAATTCATTGAAACCAACGAAAATTCCTTTATAGCCCAATTTAACCAATATATAACATGTTCTTCTGTCCATTCGCGGGGATCTTTAAATAAATTTTAATAAGAATATTTAAAATCAAAGTTGAATTATATGCACATTAAAAAAATTACATATTAAAACAAAAGTTAAAATACTTGTAGGATAAAATTAATGTTTTAAAAACATATATATATATATATATATATAAATATATTTGTGTACAATAGAAATTCAATTCTTCCTAGTAATAAAATGTGAGGTTTTCGATGCATGTTTTGAAGTTTTTGCAAGTACCCCGTGTTTTTATTATCGTTAAAAATTAAAACTTATATAAATACATATGTTTTCAATCTTAATTTCTTATATATTTAAATTCAAAACTTTATTGTGTAAATTTAAATTTACATTTGGCAGGACCCGAGTTCGATTCCTGGTACTCGCAATTATTTGTGAGTACCAATAATTAAATACATTTTTAATATTTGTTTACGAATAATTAAATACAAGAATTACTTCCAAGACCACTGATGATGGGTATTTGGCAATACTCGAAACAGCTGCACAGCCAGCCAAAAATTCAATCAAATAAAATAATATTAAACGAATTTTTGTTGTTGTAGTTCACAACTGTTCGAAAAAGCCTCTTAATGAAATATACTAAGTTTCTATTAAATATAATAGTCACTTCCGTCTGAAAACTTTGACGTCTGGGATATTTAAAACAATTTCCTATCGATCATGTTCATACTTCTTTTTAGCTTTAAAAAATTACTATATGGGGTCGTTTCTTTTACAATCATAGCAAAATAGATTTAAATCGTGGTCATTAGTTAAGGCTTTAGAATAGTCTATTTTTCTTTGTAAGTCATCATCGATAAATTTACGGTGTAAGACTGATTTTTCTCATTCGTTTCCCTTAGACGACCTCGTGTAATCAGGTACTAAAATCATATGAATCATATATGAAAGACAATATTTTCGAAAATTGGAGTATTACCGTATGAAAGTGTTCAATTCACTTCTTATTTTTGGCATTGGCAATTTACTGGCTAATTTGTCTAACAATGTTGGGTTGTATAAATGTATGCTTTTATTAACAATTTTAGTAATCACACATTTCTTTTAAATTTTATTTTAATTAAAAAAATTAATTTGAATTTTTAAAATTTTGTTCAGATTTACCTTTGGTAATATTGCAGTTTTGTACCTCCTTCTCCCATGATGCAAAAGAAGCTTTTAATACTTCTGCTACCTTGCGATTAGTTCCGGGGGTAAGTGGTGGGATTTGTGTTGGAACCTCTGAAATTGTATTAATAAAAATAAATTTTATTAAAGAAACAATAAATATTAAATAAAAAAAATTATACTTTCATAAAAGACTTTAAGGATCTGAGAATGTAATAAAAAAGATGACTATTGATTTTGCTTAAACTTTCTTAATCTTTGTACATATAACATCAATTCTTTGCTACTAATTAACTTTTATTTTAATACCCTCAGTACAAATTATAACTTGAATAAAGGTGTGTAAAAAATTCATGTCGTTTATGGTGAAGTTACTCTATCACATTTAACTGTAAGGATATAATTTAAATATGAAAGATACACATTACTCTGGTTTCCTGACTATCGAAAAAACCAATGAAATTATGGAAAAATTTGAAGAACACTAGCGTATGGACATTAAGGCATTAAAAATCAATCATAATACCATCAGATGTGGTATGTTACCACATCATGAAATATGATCATATTTTTTAGAAGATATATTAAAGCCTGTGGAAGCCTTAAGAATAATAATTTTTTTAAGACAATATAACTTTTAACAGAAGTTGTTATCCTGTACAAACTCAAAATATGTTCTTATTATGACATATCTTTATTTAAAGATAGCTACGACTCCTCGCAGTTTAACAAAATATAACTACCATACATTTAATATTGGAGGCATTATTAAAATTCTAAAAAAAAAGTTTATAGTATAAAATAAGATGCAAATTACTTCTTCATTCAAATAATTTCGTTTTTCAATATTTAATTTTTTATATGTATTATATATCTGCATATTAAATTTTAATGTTATATTAATTAAACTAAATTTAATTAAATTCATGTTTAAATAAACGACACATCTTATCCTATATAATTGCAAGATATTTTATATTTTATTTGTAGATATTTTATTCTGATTTATTCAGTTTTTTCGCTACAACATTTATTTTGGTTCTTTAATGCCTGACTAACTTCAAAATTAAAGAGGAGAAGAAATATTTCACAAATATAAGAAGGTATATATAAGAGAGAGAATATATAGGAACTCTATATATATGTGAACTCTATGACAACGTAAGACAAGTTATAGCTTATTATTTTGTATAAAAACCCTCTGAAGTTGCAGTGCAATAACCTTTTAATATACATAACGTATCGATATCAAGAAATATCTAAAACAGCCAAATTCGTCTAATTTAGAATTAAAATTAGCCAAATTTCTTTTTGTATATTACAACTATAAGTCCAATTTTTATATTATGAAAGCTATATCATAAGTATAATACCACCATGAAATGAGTGAAATAACGAGCTTTCAAGAGCGTTGAGATGATAATATCTCAATTTTATTGGATACCATAAAAATGGACTACCAGAAAGATGCAGAAATACTTTCGCCATTCACAGATATTAAGTTTCGTCCATCTAATGAAACTACGTCTACTACTAATGAAACTTAACGGCTTGTGAGGCATGTCGGTTAATTGAAAATCATATCTAGTAAAAGTAGTAAAATTGACATTCTTATTTTTAGTCTACCGACAATTTTAATTTAAAGCTTGTTAAAGAATGCATGGCAAAACTCAACTAATTGATATTACTCTTATCTGGGTTTAGAATGTTTGGTGTTTTTATACATGTCTCTACAAGACAACCAGTTCAAGCTCTCATACAGATCGTTAAGATGAATTTATATCTCAATTTTTTTCAACCAACTAATAATCGATGAAAATCACTCACAACATGTGCAATATTTTGGTTGACTTAAAGTTCGTACAATAAGATCAGGTCCAGGTTTAACGCAGACAGTTAGTGCATTTCATCCTATTTATAAAATTTGTGTAAGTTCGCCAAAAAAGAAACAACCACAAGTTTTTTTTTTAGGAACGGACTTTCTCAACAGTCTATCACAGCTAGCTTAACAATAAAATCAGGTCAAAGGATTTATTAATTTACATAAACTCAACAGAATAAATTTAGTTCACCTATCTATATAATCGCTAATTATTAGAAGTAGAAAGCTATCTGCTGATTCGCTACTCCACTCAACCAATTATTATTTAGATAATGTGATAAACAAATGTTTAATTATACATATGATTATCTATCATATAAATATCTAATTATGCAGTCAATATTTACATCACAGCATACAAACTCATATCCCAAAATTTATAAATAATGATTGATATTTTTTAAAAACGTAACATAATTCAATTTCCTTCATTCTAAACAAAAACTTTGGAGTTGGTTCTTTGATCCAACAAGAAATGATACAAAGAAAAATCTAATTGAAAAAAAACGTTTAATAAAAAAATAATATCTCACAAATAGTTTATTGTTTACAACTTACTTAAATAGTAAAATTTAAATATTAATGTAAATAATAATAACAAAAATAAAAGAAATCTTTAACAAATAATATTTTCTATCTGCTCTGAAATTGGCCATATGGAATTTACAATAACACCCTTCCCTCTGCCTCTATTGCATATTGAATATACGTTGCTAGATTGAGATGTGCTAGCATTAAACTATCCTTCAAAAACAGAAGTAAATTAATTAATAACTACAAATAAAAATAATCACTAACTTTATATGTGTAGATAAATACATAGTCACATAAACTTGTAGGTGTACTATATGTAAGCAGAAAGTAACTCTAAGTTTGGTGCACAATAGATCAAACTGGTTGTAGTTCCTAAAGGCCTTAGCCTAAGCCTAACACATAAAGCATTACAACTGTAAGTTGCGGCAATCCTTGTTTGTATTTTTCTTATATTAGAATCAATAATGATCATGAAATTTATAGAAATGATGATATTTATATACAGTCAAACTTTCATAACTCGAACTTCTATAACAGAGCAAATTACATACAATTAAAAAAAAATTCTTTAACTAGAAGTCTCCATAAGTCGAACCTTTTCTTTGCAAAATGGTACTTCGAATTATGAAAGTTTGACTGTATAAGAATAATAATATTAAATGTGTATGTAACGACAAAATTATGGCTGTTATTTAATAAGACCATATGGCATAAGTAAAAAAAGATCAATTTACCTTTAAGTTTGGTGGTAGTATGAAGATGTTGCAATTTATGTGCTTTTAAATTAAGTTTATTTTGAAAACAATTATAATTATTACTCAGCAATGATTGCTGATGACCAGTACGTAGAGGTACTCGCAGCCTACAATCTGTCCAATCTATCCATTCATTGGTCATAATAACACTATTTCTTATTTCCGTAATGTCCCGAAAATATTTGAGTTTTTTTTTTGTTTACCAAAAACAAAACATGTGCAGTTTAATAATTGGTTAAAATTTCTTTTATTTTTTCATCACTTTCTAGTTGCAAAATTAAAAGAAATCATTTTCTTTCTATATTCTTATTATTAGCGCACAATCTCATACATAATTTTTTACTTAAAGTCTTGTTTACTTTTTTTATATACATATATTCAATGCTGTTATAAAGAACTATTATTTTTACATTATTTTTGAATTCTTATTAATATGATTATTACTCAAACTTATCTTAATAATAATTTTTTTTAACGGGCTAATTGGTCAATAGTTCTAAACAATAAACTTTTAAAAAATTTTTTGTTTTTAAAAGATTTTATTCTTCTAATCGATATTTTGACTATAATCTATAGTCATCATCAGGGCACAAACAAATATTTTAAAAAGTTTATTATTAAACTATTAACCAATTACCCCGTTAAAAACGAAATTATTATTTAAATTATTTGGTTATTAAAACAATAAATTATTTTAATATATCTTAAAAACTTATTAAACTTATTATTATAATATTTATTATTATAAATATCATAACAATAATATCCGTATATATATATATATATATATATATATAAGTAATAATTATTTAAATATTTCAAACATGATTTATTTTTAAAGTGATTAACACTGCAAGTTATATTGTTACAAAGTCAAACCGCCAATCCGCCAATTTATCTGTTTATATATCAATATTGAAATTCATATCAACAATAAATATTCTGTGTTGATTTCACTATTTAATAAAAATAAATTGGTGGCAAAAAGTCAACTACTTTAAATTTTTTATTAAGTGCTCTCGGAACATGCAATTAAAAAAAATTAAATCTTTTCAATCAGATCGAATGTCTTGTTGGCTGCAGATCAATTTTAATAAATAAAACAGTCCAACAAATCAAATAATCATCAACATATTTGACCTGCAAACGCATTGAAAGTCATGACCTCCTGCTCCTAATGAAATAATTCGTAAACTGTAAGCATATTTAGTATATCCCATATATCAGCGGTGCCTTATGTTCGTGGGTGCTTGTTGTTCATTCTGCCCTTCTCATAAGTTGCTCCCTTGTACAATAAAAATGTAGTGTGTATTCAGAGTAATTGTGTAGAATGTTTTTGATTAAATGTCTGCTTGTGTGTGCGTGGCTAAGAACCGATATGACTGAACATATGAAAAGCATATGAATTGAACCAAATTTGTGCACAACGATAGTTTCGTTCAGTTACTATCAATTTAGTCTGAATATGATTGTGTTTTCAAATAAGTAATACATGAGATTAAAAATATAAAATTCGAAAATAAGAGCACATATTAAATTTCACTTTTGCCAACATTTAATTAATTTTAATTATTATAATTATTTTATAGATAATATTTTATAGAACTGGAGAAATATATTTGAGGCATTTATTGTCTATCAAACTTTTAAACATATTTTTATATATTAAATTGATTTATAAATTAATATTTTTAATCACTTCCACTTTATTTAAAAAAAACGACAAATAAAATTTATTATACTTTTAATTTGAAGAATATTATATATATTTTTTAATGCTTTTTTGGAAATGTAACCACCGCTTTTTTCGTACTTTTACAGGTGTTTGGTGATTAGCCAGAAAAAATTTAATTTTTCTTTGCTCTTTCTTTCCTTGCTAATTACAATTTTTATTACGTCAAACTTAATATATTTAAGTTAAATATTTTTAAAAAACTTTATAA